GACGACGATGATGATGATGATGACGACGACGACGACGATGGTGATAGTGGTGATGATGATGATGATGATGATGATGATGATACCCGATTCTTTCTTTGTCCTGTTAATTCAATTATATGTGAATTTTTTTGGTTAATTAGTATATGTATGTAACGTGAAACAATGAAGAAATAACTAAATAAAAAAAACCTTACTTTCTGATGGCTTATAATGCGGATTTGGTATGGATTGATAATCAATAAATAAATTATTGTTAATATTAATGTTTTATATGTTATTGTATAACAAGTGATTTTAAATTAATTGTATTTTTACCAATGGTTGAGTAAAATTATTGATTTCATATTGTTGAGCGGCAAGCTTTAAATTTCAAAAAATTAAAACAATTAATTTGTAGTTAATTAGTTCAATTAGTACAAGTAGGCGGTTCATATATATATATATATATATATATATATATATATATATATAAATATTTACTATTTCTTGATCTATATTTATTTTGCCACCATTTTCACTATCATGTAATTGTCTAGCCAATTCCTCATCAGCAAGTAATTGAAGAGTTTTTTTATCCTTATAATTGTGATTAATTACCAATATTAATATTGATAATAATAACTAGTTATATATTAATTAATTAATGCATTTATTGTAACTCACATTTTCATCATCATAACTACTATTCCTATGGTATGGCGGTGCAATGAACTCTTGATTAACAAACAATCTCTCGGTATTATGATGCATATTAACTTCCTCGTTACTCTGTAATTGTATAGCAAGCTTTTCATCCTCGAGATATTGGACAACTCTTGCATACTTTAATTGAATCATAATTAGTATTATTTAATTAGATGATGTTTTAATAAAGTTTATTTTATGTTGTAAAAATTAATAATTATTACTGTAATTATTAATTTTTTATTAATTAATATACTAACTTCTTCATCATCCGAACTTTTTTTTTCTATTTTTTCTGAAATTTACACTAATAATTATTAATTATCGTTGTGAAGGTTGTTGACACGGTTTCAGGCAACACCGAAAGAATAAACGGTATAATTAACATTATTCAAAGGAT